GGGGGGGGGGGTGGGAGAGGTAGGGAAAGAGGGAGAGAGGATCCCAAGCAAGTCTCATGCTGTAAGTGCAGAGCTCCATGTGGGGCGTGAACTCAGGAATCTTGAGACCATAACCTGAGCCAAAATCAAGAGTCAGACCCTTAACCAACTGAGCCACCCAGTCACCCTCTATTTTTAACTTTTTGAGGTAGTTCCATACTGTTTTCTAGAGTGTCTGCACTAGTTTGCATTCCCATCAACAGCACAAGAGGGTTCCCTTTTCTATGCATTCTTGCCAACATCTCTTGCTTACTGTGTTGTTAATTTTAGGCATTCTGACAGTGAGGTGGTATCTCATCATAGTTTTGATTTGTATTTCTCTTCTTATGAGTGATTTGAGCATTTTTTCATGTGCCTGTTAGCCATCTGTATGTCTTCCTTGGAAAAATGTCAGTTCATGTCTTCTCCCCATTTCTTAACTGGCTTATTTGTTTTTTGGGTGTTGAGTTTGGTAAGTTCTTTCTAGATTTTGGATACTAAAGTTATTATTACCAGATATGTCATTTGCAAATATCTTCTCCCATTTCATAGACTGCCTTTTAGTTTTGTTGATTATTTCCTTCACTGTGCAGAAGCTTTTTATCTTGATGAAGTCCCAGAAGTTCATTTTTGCTTTAGTTTCCTTGCTTCCGGTGACAGGTCTACTAAGAAGTTGCTCCAGCCTAGGTCACAAAGGTTGCTGCCTATGTTCACCTCTAGGATTTTGATAGTTTCTTATCTCACATTTAGGTCTTTCATCCATTTTGAGTGTATTTTTATGTATAGTGTAAAAAAGTGGTCCAATTTCATTCTTCTACATGTTGCTATCTATCCTGTTTCCCCAGTACCATTTGTTGAAAAGATTATCTTTTTTCCATTGGATATTATTTCCTGCTTTGTCAAATATTAATTGACCATATAATTGTGGGTCCATTTCTGGGTTTTCTATTGTGTTCTTTTGATCTATGTGTCTATTTTTGTGCCAGTACCACACTGTCTTGATGACTATAGCTTTGTAATATAGCTTGAAGTCTAGAATTGTGATGCCTCCAGCTTTGCTTTTTTTTCAAGATTCCTCTGGCTGTTTGGGGTCTTTTTGTGATTCCATACAAATTGAGAATTATTTGTTCTAGCTCTGTGAAAAATGCTGGTGGTATTTTGATAGGGATTGCATTAAATGTGCTTTGCGTAGTATAGACATTTTAACAATATTTATTCTTCCAATCCATGAGCGTGGAATGTTTTTCCATTTCGTTGTGTCCTCTTCAGTTTCTTTCATGAGTTTTCTATAGGTTTCAGAGTGTAGATTTTTTACCTATTTGGTTAGGTTTATTCTTAAGTATCGTATAGTTTTTGATGCACTTGTAAATGGGATTGATTGTTTTATTTCTTTTTCTACTGCTTCATTGTTGGTGTATAGAAATACAACAGATTTCTGTACATTAATTTTATATCCTGCGACTTTGCTGAATTCATGTATTAGTTTTAGAAATTTTTTGGTAGAGACTTTCAGGTTTTTATTTAGAGTATCATGTCGTCTGCAAATAGTGAAAGTTTGGAGAATTTTTCTTGAGATTGGTGGCGTGCAGTGCCATGTTGTGGTTAGAATTGAGGGGAAAAACAAAAGAAAGAAAAGAGAAAGAAAGGAAAGGGAAGGAAAAATGAGAAAAGAAAAAGAAAGGAAAGATGGAGGGAGACAGGTAAGGAAAGAATAGAAAAACAGGTAGCAAAAAGCACAGAAAGATAAAGAAAGAAAGAAAGAAAGAAAGAAAGAAAGAAAGAAAGAAAGAAAGAAAGAAATTAAGAAAAGAAAAGAAAGAAACAGAAAAACAACAGAAAAAGCAAGGAAAGGAAAAGATTTGTTTCCACAATTATCAATCAGTTCTGCACTTAATTAAAAATATCTACTGGCTTATAACAGGCAGAAGGATATAAGATAGTGGTTCTCATGACAATTTACTCATTAGTTTTTACCTATGAAGAAATACTCTGAATGAAGAGACTACAAATTTCACTGTTGCTAAAGGCTTCTGTTTCTAAGATATGTGTGAATTAGTAGGCTAAAGACAGGTAATTTAGCTTATTATTTCAAATCCCCTTAACGTGGTTTAGCTCATCTGTAATATCATAGCATAAAATACTCATAGACAAGAGGCTTTAGAAAGAGAGTGAAAAAAGAACTTGTTTTTAATGTGAAAATGGCAGACTCAGACCCAATTTCCATGATAATAAAGCAAAGGGCAGAGATATTTCAGATAATGCACATTAGCAACAAAATGTAAAGTTTTAGTTAATATGACCCTTTCTAACTTAAATTTTATTAAAAAGACTCACTCATAACCTTAGATTGTGTGTGTGTGTGTGTGTGTGTGTGTGTGTGTGTAATAGAAAGAAAACCTTTATGATACAGATTCTAACATTATTTGACATTATTTGGATATACCGTGAAGCCACATGAAAGAGCTATTGATTAAAGCAAGGAATGATCATTTCTAGTCACAGTTCTGATATTCATTGTGTGACCTTGGAATAATCATTTCTCTCTCCTGGCATTAACTTCCTCCTTATCCATAAAGTGAGGGTGTGGTTGATTTTAGTAACTTCTTTTAGTAATTTCCTTTTAGGGAAAAAAATCTCATAGCAGAAAATAAGTTCTATATAAAGCATAACTTTGAAAACATTTTAAAAGCAACTTGTCTTCTAGTCACTTCCAGTGCAGTGAACACCTTCACAAACAAGGTTTCAGTGCAAGCATCAAGATATAGAAATTTAGGTAAGTTTGAACAAAACTTTCCCATGGAAAGGATCACTCTAAATTTTTTTAAGGGCCAAGTAACACATGAGAATTAAAGTCTAGCCAGGAAGCTTTGCAAAGGGAAGGAAAATGGATTATATAAAGTTGGTACTTGGGTAGTATTTCTTCTAAATAAAAGTCTTAGATAATCGGATAGCCATGAGTTTACTTCTAGCTCAGAATATATATTTTATTTGGGAAAGTGAAGCAACACCTATGTAAATGATTTGTACACAGGATAAACTATATCAGAAGTACATCTGCAAATGTCATAGAGGATTTCTGGCAGATCTCCTCTTGACCGGATCACCAGAGGAGATTTTTTTAACTTAGTCTACTCTGCTCTAGTCATGAGGTCTTAAGTCTGAGGTCTAGGTGTCTTTTTTTTTTTTTTTTAATTTTTTAATG